TTACATTAAACCATAAATCGTGATTTACAAATCATGACAAATTCTTACTGAATGTTGGCCAGTTCCTAACAATAAGAACCATTTGATGGTGGTACTAGTGACCAAAGAAATGGTGAGGCTCCTTCATTGGATGTCTTTAATGGGATAGCAATAGTCCTGTGCTTTGTTGTTCAGTCACTAAATCAGGTCTAACTCTTCACAATCTTATGGACCATAGCAAATCAGGCTCCCCTGTCCTCCATCTTCTCCCAGAGTTGGCCCAAATTCATGTTCATTGTGTTGATGAAACTATCCAACCATCTCATCCTCTGTCATCCCCTTCTCCTTTTGCCTTCCATCTTTCCCAACATCAGGGCCAGAACACAAGACCTGTGTTCTGACAGATGAGCACAATTCAAAGCACATTGATGATGTCTCCTTGAATGGTGACAAAATATTTGCCACCGAATTGCCAAGCTCGGAGCTTAAACCAACAGCCTAATTACCAACCCGAGCTACTAATGTTCAAAAACACTTCATCAGGACCTTTTCCAAGGAGTCTGTTCTGACCCAGTCATAGCAGAAGCAAGAAATACACTCCTGGTCACAACCACCCCCCTCTTTATTTACCTCTTCTGAATTAATTGCACTCACCCACCAAAAAGTCCAGCCAAAAGTTCTTCAAGGGGTTAACGGCAGTAACAGACCTTATCAGATCCTTGCAATAATTTCAAGGTCGTGAGCTCCCAGCCTAAAGGCTACAAATTAAGTTCTGGCAAACAGTCTTTATGGCACGAAACACAATGAGCAAAATCTTCAGAAACACGAACTGTTGTCTCCTACGACAACCACTGCCCTTTCCTTCTAATTATTCCACAGCCATGGAGGGACCATTCAGCATCCACATGTGCTTTGCTTTCTGAGCAGACTCCTTGTCCTCCGTTGTTCACCTCTGCTAACTGCTCTGCGCATACGCGCATCTGGAACAGGCGTCAGCTGTTCTTCCTCCTCACTCATTTCAGTCTCCAAAGGCAGCTGCCTCTCCGGTGTCTGGGAAATGTTGGACGGCCCCGGTTCTATCACTGTGTCCGACACAGAGCATGCATCATAGCCTTCCCCAAACTCCAGAACTGGCCCAAGTTCCTCCCCAACCTCCTCATTGTCCGAGTCTGCCACCAGCTCTGCTGGCAGCTGGTGGGCAACAACTGAATCCTCTTTTCTCATTTGCTGGCCAAAATATTTGAACTTCAGTTTCAATTATCTGTCCCTCCAATGAATAGTCAGGATCGATTTCCTTCCAGATTGACAATCATGTGCTAAGAGGACTTTAATTTAGTTCCCTGTTTCAGACAAGGAATTGACCCCCTTCACGGCATTTTTCTACAGGTAGTCCATGGGTCAACAGCATCCAATTTTAAGGACAGTCCCTAGATATGAATAGGCTGACTACCTATTATTAAAAAAGGTGGATGGCATCTTCTTCCTCGAGCTGATGTATCACTGAAGCTACACTTTCAGGAAGTTCTGAAGACAGGCATTTTTAATATGCAAACTGTTTTCAGTGGCTTCTCAAAGACCTTCATGACTTCACCACTTCCTCGGCTCAAAGAAGGAGAATACCTCCTGCCATTTTCAGTAACAGGCAGCCAGTTTGGAAGTACGAATTTTGACTTAGATACATGTGGTGGCTCAGTGGCTAAGATGCTGAGCTTGTCGATCAGAAAGGTTGGCAGTTCGAATCCCTAGTGCTGTGTAATGGAGTGAGCTCCCGTTACTTGTCCCAGCTTCTGCCAACCTAGCAGTTCGAAAGCATGTAAAAATGCAAGTAGAAAAATAGGGACCACCTTTGGTGGGAAGGTAACAGCCTTCGGCATTTAGTCATACTGGCCACATGACCACGGAGACGTCTTTGGACAGCGCTGGCTCTTCGGCTTTGAAACAGAGATGAGCACCGCCCCCTAGCGTCAGGAACGACTAGCACATATGTGCAAGGGGAACATTTACGAATTAAGGTTAGAGTTAGGGAATGGCATTCATTCTTAATCAGGGGACTACCTGTATTCGATCATGCTTAATTTCCAATCTATAACACACCACACGCTAGTGATCAAAGAAGTCCTTCCTGAAGCATGAATCCAAAGCCATTGGGTCAGTCCCTCTCTCTCGGCCCTAAGAAGGAGGAAATGACAAACCATTTTTGAAATGTAGGGACTTGCCCAGGCAGTCACCAAGAATCAATGCTGACTCAAAGGCACTATATATGTTGGTATGTAATATGTATGTATACATGCATGTACTTGTTGCCTTCAAGACAGTCTTGACTCTTGATGACTGCCTACACAAGTCCCTGCAGTTTTCCTGATGAGATAAACCATCAGCCTTGGAGTTCCACGGTCACATGAACTGTATCTTGTGGAGAGCTGCATGTGGAAAGCCCACGGAGTGAACAAAAGTGTGAAACACTAAATAAATAGGGTGAGAGGTGTGACCCAAGTCTTCAGTCTTGATTCTTGGTGATTGGCTGGACAATCCCTGCAGCTTTTTTCTGATGAAAGAGAGAAAAGGGGGAGGGAGAGGAAGGAGAGGGGAGAAGAGAGGAAGAGAAGGGGAGAAGAGAAGAGGAAGACAAGGGGAAAAGGAAAGAGGAGAAAAGAAGTAGGGAAGGAGAGGGGAGAAGAACAGAGGAGAGAAAAGAAGAATGGAAGAGGAGAAGGAAAAGGGAAGAGAAGAAGAGAAGAGGAAGAGGAGAAGAGAAGGGAAGTAGGGGAGAAAGGGAGAGGAGAAGAGGAGAGAAGAAGAAGAGAAGGGGAGAAGAAGGGAAGGGAAGAAGGAAAGGGAAGGGAAGAAGGGGAGAAGAGAAGGAGAGAAGAGGAAGAGGAGAAGGAAAGTAGGGGAGAAGTGAGGAGAGGAGGAGAAGAGAAGAAGTGAAGGGGTGAAGAGAAGAGAAGAGAAGAAGAGAAGAGGAAGAGGAGAAGAGAAGGGAAGTAGGGGAGAAAGGGAGAGGAGAAGAGGAGAGAAGAGAAGAAGAAGAAGAAGAAGAGAAGGGGAGAAGAGAAGAAGGGAAGGGAAGAAGGAAAGGGAAGGGAGGAAGGGGAGAAGAGAAGGAGAGAAGAGGAAGAGGAGAAGAAAAGTAGGGGAGAAGTGAGGAGAGGAGGAGAAGAGAAGAAGTGAAGGGGAGAAGAGAAGAGAAGAAGGGAAGGAGAGGAGAGGGGAGAAGAAACGAGAAGAGAAGAGAAGAAGGGGAGAGGAGAAGAAGAGAAGGGAAGAAGAGAAGGAGAAGAGAAGTAGGGGAGAAGGGGAGAGGAGAAGAGGAAAGAAGAAGAGAAGAGGAGAAGAGAAGAAGGGAAGGGAAGAAGAGAAGGGAAGAAGGGGAAAAGAGAAGGAGAGAAGGAGAGGAGGAAGAGGAGAAGGAAAGTAGGGGAGAAGTGAGGAGAAGAGGAGAGGAGGAGAAGAGAAGAAGAAGAGAAGAGAAGAAGGGAAGGAGAGGGGAGAAGAAGAGAGGAGAAGAGAAGAGAAGAAGGGGAGAGGAGAACAAGAGAAAAGAAGAAGATAACTTTTTCACACCAACCACTTAACCTGGTTACTGAATAAATCTATTCCCTAAGAAAGGGCAACCCACAGCATTATAAAGTAACTTAAATTGCCTGTGCTATAGAAAAGCAAAACAAACTTAAGACAATCAAGCATAGCACATTGACCAAAAGCAGCATCTAGGTTTGCAAATGCTCTGGCGAAGGGCTTGTCTGAACACAATCACTGGGTTAAAACAATCAGCCAGAGCAGAGAGAGAGAGAGAAGGAGGAAAAAAAACGAAGGGATCAAGGCGCAGAGAAGTCTCTGGCTGAGAACATGACAGTGGGAAACCCTACCTCCCTGTCACCCTTTTTGCAGCTTGGGCTTGTCAGGCATCTAATCTTGTTTTCTTAGCCAGTCAAGCCATGACCGTTTCTACTCCAAGGCTCTTTTGTTTGGGTAGGATTTGGATTCATCAAGCTGTCACTCTCGCGTTAGGGCAGGGAGGGGGAAATGGGGAACGCCTCCAAAACATACATAAGATTAGACAGGATTTGCTGTCAAACCAAATAACAATCTGACATTAAAAGCTCCACATGGAATTTCACAGCCAGCTCCACCTTATGTTGTCAGAGAGACATAAAAAGCAGGTTTCTGAAGGGAGGGGAAGGAGAAACGACAGAAACAAAACAATTGTTTTTACATTTTCAACTCAGGTTCCCCCATCTGGGCTTCATCGAGAACCTGCCGGATGCAACACGGCAAACCTTTAAGAGACGATTCTGTGGGATTCACAGTGTTCAAGGTTTGCCCCTTTTCCATAGGAATCGAGGCAAAATATTAAAGTTTGCCAAAAAAATGTTTCCTCTGGGATGGGGGCCAATGCTAAACTGCTCTTTCGAAAGCAGTAACCCCAGAAGGAAAATATAGGAGGACAGAAAAGGGGAAATGCAAAGCAATGCAAATGCAGCCCAGGTTTCCGGCAACCATTTTGTTCATTAAATGGATCCAATGGAGGAAAAAAGATTGTATTCAATATTTTAAAGAGTGCCTTAAATGTTTGAAAGTATTAAGATACCCATTTCATCCCTTAACACCCTTGAAGCTGCAAACTTTCCCCTAAAAATTGTTATTAGTTGGGAAGTCGGGTCCAACCCATCGCGACCCCATGGACAACGTTCCTCCAGGCCTTCCTGTCCTCTACCAGTTTATAATTTATAGTTTTATTGATTTGTATGCTGCCCACTCCCGAAGGACTCCGGGCGGCTTACACTAAAACAAGGGAGGGGGGGGGATAATACACAAACAACATATTAAAATATACAACAGTCACAATTTCCAGGGGGCTGGATATTTCGAGAGCCACCCGGCCTGCTGGAGCAGCCAGGACTTAACAGCTTTGCGGAAGGCCGGGAGGGTAGTAAGGGTCCGGATCTCCAAAGACCCCAGGAGCCTAGAAAGAGCAGAAGAGCCCTCCCTTGATAAGAGGTGAACCCTCTCTCCCCTAGGATCTTTTCAGTAAGTCAGATCCCTTTCTGGAAATCTACCGGATCAATGATGATGGAAGTGAGCAGCTGGTACACCGGACTGAGGTAAGAGCCCCCTCCCCTCCTAGGGTCCAAAGGATGCATTCCCAACACCCTTGCTCAGAGAGGAGAGAAGCTACTTTTCATCATAAGCTTCTGGTCCTCATGGGGAAAGAAGGGAGGTCCTGGGTCCTCCACGCCAAGAGGCCCTCTCCAGCTCACTGTAGCAATTCCCACCACGGCCGTGGCCCTGGGGGCTCCTCACTCCTCCCTGCCTCCTTCAGGTCAGCCAGAGGGGTTCAGGGAGCAGAGGGGAGATGTAACTCTTGGGGTCTGAGTAGGAAACCTTCAGGCCCTTGTGGACAGGGACCCCCCCCCTCCAGCCCCCCCTCCCCGAAGGCTGCCTTTTGAGACCCTGTGCTTGTCCTT